CTCAAAACCCCGAAAGGACCTTGTAACGAATTTATCACGTTACAGAAGATATAAAAGATGATCGAACTACAAAGCTATTAGCCGGATCAACGCTCAGTTTTTTCCATATTTCCCTGCCATTCATTAAAGTGAAGGCAGAGGGCCAACTAGCTTACTACAGAAGTCTCGACTTCTCGAACAGACTATTAGTATTCCTGATGAAAATGGAATTGGAATTAACTTTTAGAGCTATTGGTTGTTTTTTCAAAGTTTCGAAAACGTCTTGTACTATTTCCTATGATATATTAGCGACCCTTTATGTGAAGACAAAAAGCTGGATATTTTGGCCATCGAGGGAAACAATTAAAGAAAAAATGTATTGGGCACCCCGCAATTATCCGGCTTGTCGAGCTATCATCGATTATACCCGAGCTACCATGTGATACTCCAGCTACACTTGAGCAACGTGTATAAATATACTCATCATATAAATGTGGATTCCCAATTGAATATTTAATAGGCATTAGTCCTTCTGGCATAATAACTTCCATCTCCAGGGGCTATGGTAGAAAATACACAGATAGATTCATTATAAATGACTTTGATGTTTTGGAATTAGTTGAGTCTGGAGATCAAATTCTGGCTGATAAAGGTGTTGGTCAAATAAAAATAGCACTCCTTGAACGACAATGTACATTGGTAATGCCAACAACAACAGTCAATCCTCAGTTTTCATGACAAGAAGTGCTAGAAGGATATTCTATAGCATATTTCAGAATTCACGTGGAAAGGGCTATCCAACGAGTTAAAATTTTCGGAATCTTACTTCACATTAATGTTGAATTATTCAACTATGTTGATAAAATGATGTTCATAGCTTTTGCGTCGACTAACAATAAGGAACCAATTTTTTGATCTGAATCAAATGTACCAAAATTGATCACCATTGTAATTTAATGTATATACATTGTTACAAGGAAACAGATTAACTGTTGTCGAACATTTTATTATCAACTCGACACTAATTCCACAAAGGGTAAACATGATAAAACATATTGTTCATACATATATGTGGTTTCCGAAGCTCATATGATTTTTTCACTCATCCAATTTCACTCGTCCATTCATGACGGACTTAACTCAGGCGCAGCACTTGAACTCTCCTCGCATAAATGAATGTAATAATCGAAATAGAATTTCTCTACCTTTGGAATGATGTTAGCAAAAAATTCTTCATCATGATCAATCTGGAGATAAATGTGTTGTGCCTCAGAAACTACAAGAAAATGACAGAGTTTCACACCCAGAGCATATCTGGAGTTATGTATATACTGAAAACAATTGAATATCACGCAATGGATAATTTGAAAGACGAAAACAGTATTTCGTTTCGACGCAGATCCAATTAGATCCATGTGTATTTGTGTCAAATATGTCTGTTGACCAGTCTTACTCGGGACGTCGTCGCGACAACAACTTATATTGTACCGCGTTAATATCCCGCTACCGACTACCTGAATAAGTAGTGACAAGTGTGCTATCATGCCTGAAAAGCGAAACAAGGGGCGAGAACAGGATAGTAGTGGAAGTCAAGACGACATCACGAAACCACGTCAGCCCCCTCCTAAAAAACAAAGAAATAATCACAAAGATCCATCCGAGACATTTTCTCTAGAAAGGGATGGAGACACCGAAAGTATGCCCTCTGAGACCTCGTCCTCCTTCAACCGTTTCATCTACCCAAGAAACAACAATTCAACACCTCATCCTCCTTCCTCTCCCAACACCTCCCCCCCTAAGAACAACTCCTACAACTCCTCCAAAAGATTTCAAGAAATTATTCACAAATCATACCACAACTTATTCTACATCAAATCACTTATCACCAGTCGTATCGAATTCTCAAGCCTTTGGAAATCAATATTCACTAACAACAACGATGTCATAATTCAGACGATCCAGGGATTTCTTCTGAAATCTAACACACGCAAAATTGAGCTTATCAACACCTTAAACTCTCCAAAAAGAAGGAAAAATCATCGAGTTCACTGAGACCCATGTAAACACGTCCCAGCCTAATCCTTCTCTACCAGCTACCTTTGCGGTTGTGATTGCCACTGTGGAACATGAAATAGACGACAACACCATGAAGCCTTACAGACATCAATATCGTACACAGATACTGCAAGAGAATAATCGCACGTGCTACCAACAAACCAACAACACTCATTCGAGTAATCACAGGATGTGCTGACTCTTTCCATAAATTAATGAATGAAGGTATTTTCCAGTTCAACAAGCACTAACCAGTCTATCCAAGCTCTCCCCCTCCACCAGCTCCTTCTCCCTGCGGAAAATGTGCCTAACTCTCTCATACCACATCCAGCTGTCCCAACAGGCTGACATATCAAAAATGTCAAGGTGAACACTCGACATCCTGATGCCCAACCTATCTTTCAATCCTATGCCGCGCCTGCGGATCCAAGGACCATGCTGCCTGGTCCTATAAATGCCCGAACAGACCAACCCACCCTATCCCCGGAGTCCCAAATGCCCCGATCCAAACCATCAACAAAAAATCAAAAGAACTCGACAAGAACACCGCCAAAAACAACCCTATCCACGCTCCTATCACAGCCCGCGACTTTATCATCGACACCTACATCTCGAAACTCAACAACCCCGCATCCACCAACAGAGAAGAGCTGATCTCCAAGCTGAAACAACGTTTCATTGACTCGTTCAGGATCGACACAGCGGTTATCTTCACAGGCAACAGAGCACACATTCTAATGTTCAACCTGGATGCCCCCGAGGAGCCATCACCTATAGAACCCTCCATAGGCAAGAGCGTAATTATTGAAAATGGAAGACATTAACATCCTGTACTCCAACATTAACAGCTATAATAACAAAAAAATCCTTATAAACAATTTCGTCGAGACCAACAACATCAACTGCAACCTATTTGTCGAAGCCAAAATCTGCAAAGAAACTATCGTCAAATACAAAGACTGGCTGTCAATTTCCAGAATAGGAGACAAGATAAACGATAACACAAGGGATGGTGTCCTAATACAAGCTGATCCATCCCTCCAACCTAAGAAGCAGAACGCGCCCACCATCATCCAAAATCTGAACGAGATTCTACACATCAGCCTCTCCTTCAGAGATAAACCCATACAGATCTTCGTCATCTATTCTCATCATACAGTCAAATTAGAGGAATCACTTTTCATCATGGCGACAAGATGCAAATACGCACTAATCATCGGAGACTTCAACCCTGACCGACGCAAGGAGAAACAAATCAACGATTTTCTATCCAGCGGACAGTTCGCATAAATCCCCACCGACCCAACATATCTAATGCCACGTAATGAGGACACAACACCCGATTTAATCTTCTGCACCAGAAATATAGCCGATAGAATCCAGAATCTTCAACTTGCTCCAGACCTAGGTTCCGATCATTTGACCATAACATTGTCCATCACAAAAGATCTCACCCTGGCCATCATCGAGCTCCATCCTCCCCTCTACAACTTCAAGAAAACGGATACGGAGAAACTCAACGCCGGATTCCTGCGATTCATCCAAGACCACCCGACTATCAATGAGGAGAACATCACCATATTCAACGCCCAGCCAGCAGAAACAATGACGAAACACACTCCAACGACCAAATATAATTTCTTCAACTACACTCTTCCGCCGTTCATCATCCATCTCATAAAATTAAAGAGAAAAAAATATACAGCATATCAGGCCAAAAAAGCTAATAATCCCCAACAACTAAGTCAACTCATCAAAGCAGAAATCAACTCTTTCAACAAAAATATACAGAAATTATCCCAGAAATTCAGATCCCACCAATGGTTAAAAGCATGTAGATCAATACAGCGCAAAAAAGATAAAGAATACTGGTCCACAATTAAAAAATTGACGAGATACAGACCCGAAATGTCCATCCCCGAAATCTCCTACAACAATCAAACCCAGACCTCTGACGAAGACAAAACCAACGCATTCGCCTCCTACTTCCATAACGCATATAAATTCACAGTATCCAACTCATTTGACGATCTCATCCTCGACTCAGTCGATGACAGGCACGTCGGCTTCCTTAATTCCCCAGTACAGCCTCCCGTAGAAATTCCCCCGATTTCCCCGAGCGAATACATGAAAGCGTTGTCAATCGGCAAAAACACTGCTCCAGGCCATGACAACATCCGACGAGCCTTTCTTAAAAACCTCTCAAGCCCAATCCACCTTCACATCCGGAAAATATTTAACTTCTGTATCATAAACTCACACTTTCCCTCCGAATGGAAAAAAGGAACTATAATATTCATCCCAAAAGCCAACAAAAACAGCCACCAAGTCGATAGTTATAGACCCATCAGTCTCCTTCCTTCCCTGGGCAAGATTTTCGAAAAAATCATAAAAGAACGCCTAAACTCCTTCACCTCTGACAAAATCCCAATTTTCCAGTTTGGATTTAGGGGAAAAAAATCCACTCTCCACCCCCCACACTCCTTATATCGAATATCCAGGCCGCCAAACACAATAATCTCAAATCAAACACATTGTTTCTTGACGTTCAGAAAGCCTTTGACAGTGTATGGCATAAAGGTCTCCTCTTCAAGCTAAATGAATTGAACACCCCTCCATATCTCATCAAAATTATTCAACAATTCCTTTTTAATAGAAAACTCTCCATAAGAATAAAAAACTCACACTCTCAAGAATTCCACCCCCAACAAGGAGTCCCTCAAGGTTGCCCCCTCTCCCCACTATTATACATCTTCTGTTACGATATCCTCGCCAATCCCTTCCTATCCCCCAACCCCCTCACCTACCTGGTTCAATTCGCCGATGACACTGCGCTAATTGGGCATGGAAAAACCTGGGAGGCAGCAACCAAAAACCTCCAAGACCTCACAGACGTGATTCAGAAATGGTTCAACAAGTGGCGATTAAAACTCAACCCCTCCAAATCCCAATACCTTCAGTTTTATCTAAACCCTCAAAAATCCAACTCCCATATCACTCTCCAAAACACCCAAATCCTCCCAGCCCCTCACACTAGATACCTGGGTGTTGAAGTAGACTACAACCTCAACTTCAGAGCTCATGCCAGTATTGTGAAGAACAAATGCATTGCCAGAGGTTCCAACTTTCGAGGCCTTACTTATAAAAACAAAGGACTAAATACAAATCATGTCGTTAAAATTTATAAGGCCATTTGCCGACCAATTCTGGATTATGCTCATCCCCTCCTCCTATTCGCCAGGCCTGGAACACAACAGATCATCGGTTTTGCTGAAAGGACAACGCTTCGCAAAATGACAAAAATTCGCCATCCCGTCAATCCCCTCCACAACCAATCAAACTCCCTCCTTTACGAACGCACCAAAATCGAACCCATCCACGATAGATTAAAACAATTAACATCCAATTTTGTAAGAAATAAGCTGGACCATATTCTCGACCTTTGCCACAAGCGCAACCCCAACACTAGTTCTCGGTTTAAATATCCGCCCCTCACCCTCCTCAAAAATCTACAATCCATCCGTAGAGATCAATCAGATGATAACATCTGGGGAGAAGAAGTGTCGGAATAAATAATATATCTTCATTCATTCACCCGAACCATTCAATGTACCATCTTCACCTCATTATACTCTATTTACACGAACAAATTATTATTGTATACTATGTACTTATGAAAATACTTGGCTGAAGGCCCTCAGGCGATGGCCTATTGTAAGAAAAAAATTTTTTTGTTGTTTGTAATTTTCTTGCAATAAAATCCGTTAAAAATTAATTAATTACGTCTGTTGATTGACTCAAAAATATGAACAATAATGGGAAATGACCGTTGATTTTGATTGGACAAGATTATATTCCAGCTAATAACTGCATATGCTGGATAAAATATTATATATATTTCCAGTATTTTATGATAATTGTTATGGAGTACGCCATGGATTCTTATAGAATCTATGAATTTGAATGAATACTAAATTTATTATTTGAATATCGTGAGAAGTGGAGCCAAACACATCACTCGATTTAATACAAATTCACGTCATATTTGAGTAAATCATAAATTGATACATCCGTGATAAACAGGTCCATTTACAAATGATTGAACATTGTAAATGGAACCCATTCATAATTTGCCATGAACATGGGTATGGTTAAAAAGAAACTAGTGTCGAACAAGTGGAATGACAATGGAATATAAACGACAGCAGCAATCATTTCTCTCCAGAAAATCACGTTAGAAGCAGAATGACTGATTTTTCGAAAAGGTAAGTGGATAATTTCTCAAGATAAATGTTGCACTTATGATATGAAGAATTGTATTTGAAGAGGTTGAGTATTTGACGATAGTGAATGAAAAAGTTATCAATGCATGGAGCGTTTCATTTCGTGGTAGTAACGTTGAACTGCGCCAAAGGATGTCAGAATTGTTTCAGGAAGCTATACTTTTCTTGTGTGAAATGCATCCGTCTGCAAGAAAGAGAGTGGTTTTATTTTTAATGTTATAGTGATTATTTATTAAGGTAAAGTTCAGTTTGAGCCAGAACTATTTTCTGAATCGCGAAGTATACTGAGAAATTTCTCTGAAGAACCAAGTTTCCTCGAGATGAAAGTTTTGATATAGAAAAGAAGATGAGAAATTATCGACGTTCCAAATATTGAAAGTACTCATGTGGCATATGAAATTACATCGTAATCACTTTTTCACGGATCATTAGCAGCTACCGATTATTGACGATGTTTTAACTGATTACAGCTAGATTATTATCACCATTAAATAATTGTTCCGTCTAAATAAAGAACGAAGCCTCCGGAGGGGCTGAAGAGATTGACGAAAACTTGCATTGTTTATATTCATATCTGGAAAATTTAAACAGAATGAAATGTGAAATAGTTGAATTATCCAAGAATTGAAAGTAAGAAGATGAATAAATTAGGCATATTCCAAAATATTTATCGTTACATTGATTTGATTGAAGGAAATAAGTTGAAATTATGTATAATGTTGAACTGTGTTTTCAATTAAATAGATGCTAGGATTGAGCGAAGGATTGTTATGATTAATACAAATCGTCGAGAACTGAGTTGATAATCGGAATTACGTCATCAAAATAGTCATTTTCGTTCACAGCAGGCCCAAGAAATCCGCATTAAATAATGTAGTTTACATTCAATCAGAATTCTTACGTCATGAGTATAGTTTGTATTTCAAACACTCCTTCGCATTATAAGTTCATTAAATGATAAATTTTTAAAGTTTAGCCTCGCAATTGCAATCAGTTGATCTAAGATGAATGAGTAAAGTTGAATGAGTCAACACGGATTTCTTGGATCAAGAAAAAGTCGACTAGAAGTACATTTATTTGGCTTCGGTTCAATTCCACGAATGCATAACTCAAATTTTGATTTCATTGAGAGAACACTACTAGATAAAGAAAAAATCAACATTTCACCTAAATATTCCAATAGCTTCTACTGGGTCATTGAATTTTGGACAAAAAGTAATGAACAAAATATAAATTCAGTTTGAAATAAAGAATTGTAATTGACTATGGGAAATAGTTGAGATCGAAATTAAATTGGAAAAGAACAAAAAACTAAATGACAACATAGAGCAATTCCACGTCAAATCCGAAATGAAAAAATATCATGTTTCCGATTGTCTTGCCGACTTTTTTTTTAGGAGTACATGACGCGAAGTCTCATGAATTTTTTGGAGCGATTTTTTTTTCAATCTGCAATGACTCGAAAACTTTATTTTTTTTTATCTGAAATTTTAGGGGCAATTTGGGGACATGATTACCAATATTTCCACCAAAGGATAATCATTATTCTGTAGTCTTTCTTCGTTAAACGAGTGTCTTTTTTTCGAAAAATTCGTTTCCGGGAACAATGCGTAAATGACAAAGAAAAAAACATTTATGACTAGTAATAGTTGAAACAGTGACTTATCTATCCACCTGAACATTACAGTGAGGGACGGGACACTTGAAATTTAAGTAGTGCTCATATCTACTTGATTGGACCTCCTCGAGAAAATATTTATTTCACTAGACTTCCAACAAATGAAGAAGTTCTACAATTGTTCTTTCATCAACATAGTTCATCAAACGACTCAATCTCGGAAAAGGCGAAGAGATTAGTTAATAAAATCATTATAAGCTGGAAGCAATCAAAGATTCCAGTTTGTCGATCTCGAGACATTGTGGATAGAATTGAAAAATTGCACAATGAGTGGAAGAGAGTGAACAGGAATAAGGATTGAAAGATATCAACTGGTCAGAGACGTAAAGAAAATGAATTTAAAGAAAAACTCAAGAAATTATTCAACACAACGAGTTCTAATGTCACAGAATGCATCAGATCCCATCAAAAAATATTTTTGGAAGGGCAATGCGCGAAAATTCCCCATCATTTTATTCCAGCATGATCGAGTAGCGTCAATCCATTGGGTGAGTTCATAAGTGACAAAAATACCAACCGCAATAACAATAAAGTAGATATTTGTACTAATGGTTAGTTCGTTTGATAATTCGACTACCCTATTTTCTCCTCCCATTTTTAAATATTCAAATCATTACAATTAATAAAGTTCAACTCCATGGATAATAATTTATTAGATGATGAATCACGGGAATTTGGAGCATAAATAAAACAATGCTGGTCAAATTGTCATTTACGCGACGTTTCGCTGATATATTTCAGCTTCCTCAGGCTCTGGAAAACATTGAATGCATAAAAATAAAACACACCTACTAAATAAAACATACTCATAACCTCAAACACTTGATACATGAACCGACTAGTATGTCTATATTGCACAACTGACAAGTAAAAATACTTTTGTTTCGAAACGTCAACTAATAAATATACCTTGACATGACTAGCGTGTAGTCGACTTAGTAAATACAGGTCTCATACGGGAATTACAAATTCGCATTATAACAGATAAATACAACGAAATCAACAGCAATTTACACTGACTTCTCGTGACATTACACGACAAGCAGTCGACCGCTGACACTTCACGCGTCAATCACTCGCCACTCATTTTACCGTCACCAGTCTGAGCACCGCTTCAAATTCGAGGAAACATCAATCCTGGATGTGGAACCGAATTGGACGAAACGGAACATTAGTGAGATGGTTCACATTAGCTTGAACAAGACAGTGAATAAACGTGAGGATACGCAGCATCTGAGTGGAATGTACAACAGTCTTATCAGGAGATACAAGACCAGGAGAAAGTAGGGGTCTGGGTTATCGACTTTCGCCGCTGGATCATCCGGAAAGTGGCGCCGCTTTATGTCAGTTGTGCAATATAGACATACTAGTCGGTTCATGTATCAACTGTTTGAGGTTATGAGTATGTTTTATTTAGTAGGTGTGTTTTATTTTTATGCATTCAATGTTTTCCAGAGCCTGAGGAAGCTGAAATATATCAGCGAAACGTCGCGTAAATGACGATTTGACCAGCGTTGTTTTATTTGTACTACAAATTTCCGTGATCCATCATCTAATTAATTCAAATCATTCATTTGCCATTTATTTTCCAGATGTCAGTCAACCTCTCAGTGACGTCGTCATGAATATGATAATTGAAAATACGAACGAAGATTCCGGTAATTAGAGAATTCTCCTCGGAATCTTCCCATTCAATTTATTAAGCTCTAAACGATCAACTTCTTTTGCAATTTCTAGACCTGAACGAAGTTATGAATGATTTGGAAACAGCTAGAATGGAATATGATGATGATGAGGATGCTGCTGCTGCTGCTGATGATGATGATGATGATGATGATGATGATCATGATGATGATGATGATGACGACGATGATGATGATGATAATGTTGATGGTGATGATGGTGAGTTAGCTAAGATGTTGTCTTATGAATTAATCATTGAATTACGTAGCAAAGTAGTGATTCGTAATAAGGTAATTTTGATTTTTCGTCAATGACATGTTTATCTGGCAAATCAGAGATGTTGGAAATACTGTCAAGTTTCCTATTTGCGACTGGATAGATTCTCAACAAAACAGGTTGACTGGCATTGCTCCACGGAATTACCCCGTTAGAATGCTTCAATTCCAAACCTACAAATAATTGAATTGTCACGTTTCACCGCTTTACGGAGGGTT